TTTATAATTTTAGAGAAATCTCTGAGAAAAATAGATAATCCCTGGAAAAAAATGATGACAAAAATATTAATAATTTTCCATAAAACCAATATATTAAAACAAATTATCAAATTGCATAAGTAAGTGAAGGTGCCACGCTCATGTAAGGTTGCCTTGTCTTATAAAGGAGAAAATAAATGTGGAAATGATTTTTGAACTTATCTTCAGGTTTTGACAGGAGAAGACTCTGTTGCCTTTACTTGAATTGCTGCATTCTTAATCAAGTTTGAGTTTAAGGGTTGTTAATGTAGTTTAACCAAGGTTCTAATCTTACAATGAATGCTAAGCTACAAGAGGTGTGTAGTCCTTTGTTAAACTTCTTGAACTTATGGCTCTATGTTCAACAATGTAGATGGGATTCTAGGGACACAGCAGAAGTTAAACTTAAAATCTAAGTTTATATAAATGTCAGCAACCCACAGTTCATCATAGTGCTGTCTTTGAAGGATCCACAAAATAAAATTTGTATGAGAAAGTGGATCATATTTCCCATGGGAATGATTTTATAATTATGGGCCAATTTCTTTTATAGAGTTTATATCTAATTATAACAATAGAGTGTTTTTTAAAATTACAACAGCTGTAATAGAAATACCATGCATCCTGATTATACCAGAGTCCCCAGTGTACAACAATTGTTCATTCACTCATTCATTCATTCATTCATTCTACAGGTACTCCGTGAGTATATAGTATGTGCTAGGCACTATTCCAGGCTTGGAGATTTGATGTGGGCAGAAAGTATATGCCCCCCACCATCACCAATATCACAGAGTGCCCTAGCCAGTTTGGCTCAGTGGATAGAGAATTGGCTGGTGGACTGAAGGGTCCCAGGTTTAATTCTGGTCAAGGGTCGCCTGTCCCTTGGTCGCAGACTCGATCCCCAGCCCTGGCTGGAGTGTGTGCAGGAGGCAACCAATTGATATGTCTCTCTCACATCCATGTTTCTCACTCTCTGTCTCCCTCCCTTCTTCCCACTCTTTCTAAAAATCAATGAAAAAATATCTTTGGGCGAGGATTAACTATATTATGTCTATTTATATAACAGCCTAAAGCAACCCTTACAACTGACTCGTTATAATGACCGGTGGACCAGTTTCTATAATATGCACTGACCACCAGGGAGCAGACGCTCAATATAGGAGCTGCCCTCTATTGGTCAGGGTGCTACCACAGCTAACTCCCCACAGCCAACCGGCAGTGTTGGCGGCTGGTGGCCATTCCTTCTGCGCCCGGTCCAGCAATCGTCACCTGCTCCCCTAATCCTTTCCCAGGGGGGTTGAGGTTCAGGGGCTGGTGAGAAACCTTCCACACATTGTCCCTCGCTCCAGCTGGAGGGCCCCAATTGGCCCGAGGTCCTTCCTGATCCCCCTCCCTGGCTGACAGGACCTGATCAGCCCTGATCACCAGCTAGGCCTAGGGATCCCACCTGTGCATGAATTCATGCACCAGTCTCGTGTGTGTGTGTGTGTGTGTGTGTGTGTGTGTGTGTGTGTAGTGAATTAAAGACTATATATATATGTGTGTGAGTGTATACAATATATATGTATATATACAGTATATGTGTATATATCATAAAGTAGACTACTTGGGGAGAATAATATAAACCAAGTATTTATTGAAAATTATAAATGGCCAAAACCGGTTTGGCTCAGTGGATAGAGCGTCGGTCTGGGGACTGAAAGGTCCCAGGTTTGATTCTGGTCAAGGGCTTGTATCTTGGTTGCGGGCACATCCCCAGTAGGGCGTGTGCAGGAGGCAGCTGGTCGATGTTTCTCTCTCATCGACGTTTCTAGCTCTCTGTCCCTCTCCCTTTCTCTCTGTGTAAAATCAATAAAATATATATTTTTTAAGAAAAGAAAATTATAAATGATAGAAAGAAAATAATCCAGACACTGCCTGGAGGACAGTACTTAAGTTTATGAGACTGAGAAAACGGTCACTCACAGTCTCCGTGGGAAATTAGAAGCAGACATCTATGAACTCAGTCTGTGGTGGGGGGAGCCCTGTTGGCCTTCACGCAGCCTTCGGCCTGGTTCTGGTGTCTAGAAGTGCTGTCTAATGGGAAAGTGCGCTTCCTTCCTCCGCCCGTCCCTCTGCACCAGCGGGAGGGGGTGGAGATCAGGCGGAGCTGGGAGAGTGACCTCATGCTCTCAGGGCCAGGCCGGTTCCCTGGCTCCAGGGTCACCGGGGTGCAGGCCCAGGGCACAGGGCCGCCGTGGCGGTCCGAGGCGGGAAGTGCATGTGCAGGCCTTGGGAAGGGCGGGCTGGCCTACGCGGCAGGATATTACTCGGCTTCCCCTTCCTGACTGCCTTTCCCAGAGCATTCACGGCCGTTGCTCAGCTTCCTGTTGGGGAAAACCGTGGACACCGAGCGTCCACCTGCCACAGCCGGCAAACTCGGGGCGGCAGAATGTCCCAGGCCGCTGTGCAAGCGGAGCCTTGAGTTGGTGGACAGACCCCGTCTCAAGAGCGTCGGGAACCTGAGACCCCCGCCATCCAGATGAAGCCCTTCTTTGTGGAGGTGAAGGGACAGGAGGCGGCTGCCTTGACAGGTCATGCTCCGGACCCACACATCACAGGCGAGTGAACGGTGGGGACTCTGAGGGGCCTGGGCTGCGTAAGAGACAGGGTGATGCCATGAGACGGCTCTAGTCACCAAAGGGGGGGTGGGGGTCGTGGCAAGAAGCACAGGGTGTCATGGACATGTGAGGTGTCATGGACGTGTGAGGTGTCAGGCAGCCTGGCTGATGTGAAGACAAGGGGTGGAAGTTGCTGGACTCCTGGCCACGGTGTTGGTTCTCTTCCCCCCACATGCTGTGTGCTGGCTCCATGCAGCGCTGGGCCCAGGACGGTGCGGGCCCAGCACGAAGCCCACCGTCGAGTGAGTTGGTTTCTTCGGAAGGCCCCTGGCTGGAGCCCAGGCTGGCGATGAAAGGAGGTGTGGGGAGCTGGGGGAGATGCAGGCTCCCTGGCGCTGTCTTAGGCCTAGGAGAGCGGTCCTTCCAGCGCTTACAGTGTTTCTGATGTGCGGGGAGGTTGGGAGGTGGCTGGATGAGTGGGACGGATGGAAGAAAGTGGATGGCTGAGCAGAGCCACAGCGTGTGCCTAGGAGACTCTGGGGACACGAAGGAGGCTTGGGGAATTTTATCGGAAGTATCAGTTAGCTCCAGGGACCTCCTTTCTCACATGCTTCCTTGTCCCCTCTGGCGGCTGTTCACAGCAGCCGTGCCAGGGGCTTTGTGTCTGAGTGCAGGCAGTTTGCTGTGCTCAGAAATGTCCGTGAGTCCATATCCGCCGCCCTGGACGTCTGATCGCCCTGTGGGGACGGTGTCTGTCGTTTGTAGGGATCTCAGCTCCGTGGCAGCAGCAGGGCCTCAAAAGAGAGGGCCCACAGAGAGAGAGTGAGGAGTTGTGTACGGTCCTCACGGCCCATCTTCTGCCTTCAGCATCGCTGTGTTCTCTCTGCCACCTCACGCCAAGGATGCTGGTGTCTGCTTGTCCTAATAGGGCCTCTCCTGGAATCCCTGCCTGGCCTCAGCCCCACCCACCCGTCTCCTGATCCTGCCCCCTGACTGGGAACCCTGGACCACCCTCAAGATCCCTGCTTCATCCCTCTCCAAACCAAGACCGGGCCGCAGGCTTGAGTCCCTGGGTCCCCAGTGGTCCTGTCCCCAGAGGCTACCCTATTCCCACAGGGTTGTGGCCAGCAGAAGACAGGTTCAGCCTGTCTTTGTGACTCAGGGGGTGTGTGTCGGGGGGAAGTCACAGGAACTGAGAGAGTGTTGAAGGCTCCTTTTCCAGTTACCCTCGCTGCCCTTGGCAAAGGGAGGAAGGAGAGGCACAGCTCAGGGAGCAACAGGACTTGGGTCTCTCATCAGGTGCTGCCCCCAGAACACTGCTGTTGGGGTGCAGGAGTGGAGTCAGCAGCTTCCAGCTCTCGTGCCGTTTAAGATTCCCACCTTTCATTTCTACTGTCCCTCCACCTGTAAGGATACTAATTTTTTTTTTTTTTTAATTTTGGAAATGTCAAAATAATTAACAAGTGAGGGAAATCTCAACTACATGACTGTAAAAAAATCTGTATCTTCAAAACACTGCTGCTTTTTTAGTAAACTGTAGGCTTTTTAAGATGAATTATAGTCTGTTTGGGGTGGTTTTGGGAATTTGCCTGCCTTGTGTAAAAACAACCTTGCTCTTATTAAATGTGGTGAAACTGGGAAGGAAGAAAAAGAATGAAATGGGGTGTGGATCATTCTATCTGCATGATCCATAAAGTCATAAGGACATACAGTACTATCAGAACCTCTCAGGCTGTCTGTAGTTAACTCAATCTCAGTACCATTCAGGCTGGATGAATGCAGCATGTGGAGATACCCAAGGGATTCTAGGCCTTTCAACTCCTTTTCCCTCCCATAGCCTTAAAGCAGCTCTAACCCGTATGCACCTGGCATCTTGACCAGTAGGGGGCATATGTGAGCAATGTGCTGTATACATGAAGCTCAGGTTCCACCTACTCAGTCATGTGGCAACTCCAGCTACCTCCCCAGGAGAGAGAAGACCTAGGTCATTGAAATCAATTCATTTTTAAGTGTTTACATGATTGTGAATTTTTACTTAATCCCCTTAATCAACTTTCCTCATCTACAAAAGCTGGTATAATTCTAGGAAGGGAGCCCTCAGAACATTAGAAATACTTTTCATATTTTGGAAACAAATTCTGCCTATCTAGAAGAATAGATCTCTCCGGAAACACAACTTGCCAGAAAGCTCTTCCTGTTCGGGAGAGGAAATAGGTACATAGGTGCGTGGCCCACCCACATACAGCCATGTTTAAAGGTTGAAACATTGGACTCACCTTCTTCAGGGGACAGGGAAAGAATCAAACACACAGAGAAGCAGCTCTCATAGACAGGAGACGGGCACTGCTGTAACCCTGACCATCCTCTTCTACTGAATGACTCTGCTCATGTCTTCATTGTGATTTTTGCTGTTGTCTGCTGTTGCTTGTCTCATTGGCCACACTTTCCCGGGGCCTCCCGAGGGAGGCGACCAGGAGATGGATGAGTGTGTGGGTGGAGGACGGAGGCGGGCGGAACTGCCCAGACCTGTCTGCCCTGGGTGTAGTGCCTCATCCCAGGTGGACAGGATTCTCCTGGGGGTGGCAGTCTGACAGCCATCCACCCCGTCCCGTCACCGCGGGCCACAGCTGCCTGGGGAGCATGCTGTCAACAACCATGGTGGGGGCCCTGGTCCGAGGATGGAGGAATCGGAGCGCTCCTCGGAGGGCTGGATCCAGGCTTCTCCTCCCACAGAGCCAGGACGGGATTCGGATCCGGGGTATGTTTGGGACACTCTGCTGTGACTGTGTGATTTGTTTTAAGGGTCTAGGAAGGTGACAAGGAGCTCCTAAGCTTTCTCCCCAAAGCAGCTAGAATTGACATTTCTAGAGTCTGTTTTTCTGGCCATGTATGATGGCTAACTCATTTGTGGGAGGTTTAATTTCCCTTTGGTCAAAAATAGGTGCCTTCAGTGGCCACACAGCTTTTTTTTCAAAAGCTTTTATAAAATATATAATCCTTGTTCTTTGTTATTTGTATTTGACTAGTAGGATAGAAAAGGTTTACTGGCTTTTGGCAAATTCTGTCTCAGTCATATTACTTTGTTACCTCTGGGATGGGAAATGTAAAAGTAGTTCACTTCTGGGTTTCCCCACTCATTATTTTTATTTTCTGTTTTGTCACTATTGTTTTGAGGCAACAGGAGTGGCTCACCTGTTCGCTAAGTTCAAAAGGTTATGGTGGCCTTTTCTGAAATAAATATTCACCAGCATGAAATACTTCTGAAAGAGCTGACCTCATTCTGCTCCGTCTCCCTGGACTTCTTAGGGATACTTGTTTAGAGGGCCACTCTGTGGTCTAGCGGCCGACTGACCTCTGAGCGAGGCGCAGAGTCAGCAGAGAAAGCAGGTATAGCCCACAAGTACCCAACTCCCAGGGGCTCTCTGGGCCGACCATCCCCTCAAAGTGCTGTTGTCTGACCAGGGACCCTGCCAGTTCCCTAAGCAGCAGATGCAGCTGATCTTTCAGTTCAGTGGCTGTGTCTCAAAAGCCCATATGTGCCTGGCATTTTTCTAGATGCTGCCATGCTCTGCTCTAAGCTGGCCTATGACGGAGAGGTGTACAAACTGAAGGCTGTCATTCATTTGGTTCTGACTGTGATTTCAACCACACTTTGCTGGCTAGCTGTGTTGAAGAGGAGTCAACCCTAGAGATTCCTTTTTAAATGGCCTGTTATTTAGTCATTGCAAGGTTGTCAATGAGTTATTTAACCAGATATCCAAAAGACAGAGGGCTCTTCTGTGTTCCAAGCAAGGATTAGCAATGATTTGTAAAATCGAGGCATTTAGTAAGGAATGTGAATCATAGTATTTCAAACATGGATCACCTGCTTCTGCTCCCGGTCAATTTATTTGAGGATATTAAGAGCTTTACAAGATGACAAAGTAATATGTTAACATGTAAAGAATGGTCTTAAACACACACACACACACACACACACTCACACAGCTTTTTGAGATATAATTTACATTCTGCACAATTCACCCATTTAAGGGTACAATTCAATGGGTTTTGGTATATTACATTATTGCTTTTTAATGTTTGGTAAAATAGATATAATATTAAAAATGATATTTTAACCACTTTTAGTGTATAATTCAGTTGTATTAATCACATTTTGTGCAACTGTTACCACTATCTATTTCAAAAAAGTTTTTATCACCCCCCAAACAGAAATTTTGTACTCATTAAGCAGCAAACCTCCATTCTCCCCATCCCCACCCCCACCTTTGGTAATCTCTAATTCTATTCTCTGTCACCATGAATTTGCCTATTCCAGATATTTCATATAAATCTAATCATACAGTATTTTTCTGTATGGCTTTTGTGTCTGGCTTATTTCAATTGGCATAATGTTTTCAAGATCATCCAAAGCATGTATCAGAATTTCATTTCTTTTTATGGAATGGTAGGTTTTAATACCTTTATATCTAATTCTCTTTCCTTTAAATATATCTTAATTTCTAACCTGACGGAATCTTTGGGTATTTTTTCAGTCTAGTGGCATTTTTATATTTAACTTCTTTAAAGCATGAAGAGTCTCTTAGGAAGGTATTAATTTTCAGTTAGTTCTGTAATAGCAGGGGCTATAGATTAATCTGCTTTAAAAAAAATAAAAAATAAAAAAAAAAAAAAAACCTTCATATTTTTAATGCTTAGTCCAGGTCCTGGCATAGAGTAATTATTCAACAAATTTATCTTGAGATGGACAAATTAATAGTTTTTAAGGTTTTACTCTTAAGTATCAGGAAATATATTTGAAATAAAAAGCTAGATGGTCTTTATGCTTCATTTCTTGATCCTCTGGGTGGTGATATCTTATCCTATATATATAAAAAAAGAAAGCCTAATATGCTAAGTGTCTGAACATTCGTTCGACCTGTCACCCAATTGCTATGATGCATACTGACCACCTGGGGGCAGATGCTCTAACCTGTAGATTAGCTTGCTGCTGGGGTCTGGCAGGTCAGAACTGGGGGAGACAAGCTGTACACACCCTGGAACACTCCCACAGTCCCTCCCCAGCCCCGATCATACACTGGTGGGGTCCCTTGGTCTGGTCTGCACCCTCTTGCAATGCAGGACCCCTCAGGGGATGTCAGAGAGCCAGTTTAGGCCCAATTACCACAGGCCAGGCCAAGAGACCCCACGAGGGATTCGTACACCCGGCCTCTACTTTTGACATAAAAATGTATAGTTACAATTGTTTCAAACCCCATAGAACCACTAAATATCGGAGGAGGTGTGTTAAGTAATGTAAATAGTTCACTGTGACATGTCAGGGTTTCCGGGAGACCTGACAATGCCTAGTTCCTGCCTTTAGTGAGTATCTGGGGATGTTTCTTGTTGAAGGTGATCGGAGTAGCCCAGCTGCTAAGCAGTGTGACTGAGACAGGTCTTTTCAATCATGAACTTGGCCTCATCAACCTTACTATTGTCTCTCTCTCAGTGCTGGCCCAGGAACTGGGCGCAGGCAAACTGAAGCAGAAGCTGCTACAACCCAAGAAGCCCCTTTAGACCTCACTGGAGCAGGGAGACTGAGAGCAGAGGTGGATTGGGGATGACTCACCGTTTTCATCCTTAAATAGAAAATGTAACTAATTTTTGCCCAAATAATGTCAGGGCACATGTATTTCCAGGTGGGCACCCTGCCGTTCAGCCTAGCACAAGGTGCTCTCTCTGTGCTTTGACTATTCATTCCTAAAGGTGTGAAGGGGACAAGAGGAAAGAGGAGGAATGCAAAATGAACCCCGGGGATTAGGACTTGAAAGCCATCCAAGGATATGTTTGTTGGAGATGCTTTCCCCACCCACTTTCTCAATAGCGAACCAACAGCGCACCTTTGCGAATTTAAATTGCAGCTAAGGTGTCTGCTTTGTTGAGGGGAGAGGTTCGTGTTAGTGTGTGGGCACCTGGGGAAATTCTGTTCTCCTTCAGTGGGGCCCCTGTGAACACCGGGAAGAGGGCTGTGTCACTCACGGCAGCTTTGCATACGCAGCAAGCACACTATCCACCTACCCCCATCCTCCCTCCTGAGCTAAAGGATGAGCCCGGCTACAGCTCTGTGGCTTGATGCTCTCTCAATCCCCGTGCCCAGTGTCCTTTGTAGAGTAGGCACCCGGGGACTATTTCATAGCAGTGACTTTAGGAACATGCAATGCAATATGTTATACAATAAGGAGCCCTGTGTTCATACATGGCCTGAGCAAATCTACCTTGATGCTCTGTGAGTCCTACCAGGTACTTAAGTTGTTGTTGCCCTTTCTATTTCAAAGGCATGCAGACTCCCCTTGGCCCGCGTGTAAAATAATAATTTCTGACGGTGGAGCTGTGCACCCTGCAGTCGAAGAAAAAGCCCTTCCTTCCTCATTTCTCAGTGGCAGCCTGTAATCATCTCTGAGTGATTTTTAAGATTCTTTCTAAACCACCGTTCCCTTCATTGTGTTGGCCGGGGAACGGTTTCCCCTGTGTCAGTGGGATGGTTCTCATTCCTTCCCGAGCCCAACCACCCACCTCGTGAGAAGAGAGAGGTAGCTGTAAATCTCAGCCAACCTTCTTTCCTACAATGACTCTGGGACGAAAAGGCAGCTGACCAAGCCAGCCAGCCACCAACATTTATCGAGGGCCTTGGGAAAATATCACTTAGCCATTAGAGCATGACAGGGCTTTACCCAAACCTGACTTCCTCATTAAGTTCCAGCCTGGGCTTAAAGAAACAGAGGATGAAGGAGGGCGGGGGTGGGAGGGGACCTGGGTTCCTGTCCAGCCAGGACATGGCCCCTGTCCTTCATGAGGACTGGGTGGAGTTGGAAGTAGCCTGCTGGGCTTCTATACATCCCATCTGGAGTGTTTAACCTTACCCCAGGTATGGCCTGCCCACTGCAGGCATGGGAGAAATGAACACTGAGACACTGCACATCATAGCTTGGTCTATGGTTTGTCTATAAACTAAAAGCATTCTCTCTTTGAAAATGAAAATTAAAATTTGCCCCACTTTATAATTAATGGTAATGACACAATATGATAATAAGGCTGTAAAGAAATTTACTATATCTGTTGCTGTTTCTGATGGGATTTAATAGACTCAATCTCTTGACTTAAGTAATTTTACTTAGTTTACACCAGGTATATAGTCCTTTTCCCATATTTCCCGATAATTAGCTATGTAATTATCATTTAATAAGAACCCCTTATTTTAATTAGAATAATCATAGGGTAGTGAAATAATAAATATTCATCAAGCAACTGCTATGCATAGACTAATGAGTATGCTGGAAAGATAAAATAATTTCTAAGGCTTATTCTTGACCTTAAAATAGTGTTTGTAATCTAGAGAAAACAAGCATAAAGAAATGCAACAAATATAATATGAATAGGCAGAGTTAGGTGCTAAGAAGATACCAGTGGAGGAGGAAATGATGAATTTTTAAGAGATAGTATAGAGTTTACCACATAGCAGAACTTGAGGATACTTTCAACTCTGAAATTAGGGCTAATAGTAAATATTTGCTCTTATCACACTTTTAGTCTTTTTTTTAATATATTTTATTGATTTTTTTTTTTTACAGAGAGGAAGGGAGAGGGATAGAGAATTAGAAACATGTATGAGAGAAACATTGTTCAGCTGCCTCCTGCACACCCCCTCTGCACTTGCCCTTGACCAGAATTGAACCTTCAGTCCACAGGCTGATGCTGTATCCATTGAGCCAAACTAGTTAG